TACCGTATGCTTCTGCTCTAAGGTTGGAATCGTCGAACTTTCTAAGTGCTTCATCGATAGCCTTCCTAACAACCGATCCAATGTCCGTATCACCGCCACCTATTGAGCTTACCAATCCAGATATTACCGTGAAAATGCTACTTATTATCGGACCGACTTTTGGAATCAGTTCTGTAATTGATGACAGGATGTCTAATGTACCAGAGACAATTTCTGCGACATCACCACTTGTCAAAGATGGAGCTGCACTACCGACGGCGTCTATTGTTGAGGCAATCCCGTTCAATCCATCGTCATCTTTTAGATATTTTTCTATTTTTCCTAGTTGTTCTTTTGCTAATTGTTGATTGGCCTTTAAACTTGATCCGATTTTTCCAAGCGATGTCTGCCATCTAGCTTCTGTCGCAATGAAAATCAACATCATCAAAATCCATAGCAGAAGAACAGAACGCTTTTGTACTTTCATGTCTGCAATTAAAAAAAAATGATTTTACTAAGCTGAAAATAAATAGATTTAGTCTGTCCGTGTACATTTTCTTAGTAGACAAGGAAAACAGTTATTAACTTTTTAGACTCAGGACAATTTAATAGCAATTCCCTGTAATCACCAACAAAGTTGGGGCACGGTAAGTCTGAGATTGCTTTGCAATTTTGTGTTGGTAGCTATCGACATACATATAGGAAATATATTGACAAAACAAGTGTTTCTGTCCCCGTTGCCATGGTCTCCTTGGATTTTCATTTTCAGGCAGTTATCATGCACACATTTTAATTAACTGAATATTGTAAGATTTGTTCGTTAAAATATAACATTTAATTAGTTAGAATAAGGATTTTGTTAGAAATGGTTTCAAATATACCCATACTTTGAAAAGATAAACTGTTCAGAACGATTATTGCTTTTATTTGGTAATAAGGTTAAATGCAAGAGGTCCAGGTCATGTTAAAAGTTCTTAGCAACGACCCTTATAGAACATAACAAAAATACTTAAAAAAACTTAAAATCACTAAACAACCGCCGAATTGTATTTTGTGTTTTTATTGACCTGGCCTACAGGGCAAATTAAGCTTTTCTGATCTCTTGCCATCCGCCATCTTCGTCTGTAAACTTGTGCAAAATTCTGATTCTCTGAAATTGCTTTGCAAATTGGAACCAAAAACTTATCATTCTTATAATAAATAAATACTATAATATAGAATAAAAATTTGATTTTGCGTTTGTGCTTGAAATGTTATTCTTTTTTTTATTGAATCAATTTAACGCAAACATACCAGCTGAATCATACAGCATCCTTGGAGGCAATCTAGCATATTTAAGCTATTTTGTATTGAAAACTTTTAAAGATAGATGGAAAATTTAATAGCAAACATTTCCAACAAGACTGTTTAATCAGCATGACCGCAATTGCCCATTGACTCAATTTAGGCGTTATGCCCTTAAATGACGACTGTTACCCATTTTTAAGTCGAATTAAAAGTAATCTTGAAACTGCAATAAATATAGAAAAATTTATATAACAAAATTTATTAGCCAGACAAGATCTACAAGAAAGTCAAATCTGGCATGAATCTTCAGTCAACTTCCCCCTTCTAATGATGATTGTATCCTTTGTGTTTTGCTAAAACTTATTATCGATAAAGAGAAACTGTACACAGCTAAAACAATCAGCAAAAACAAGATGTTGAAAAACTATAAAGCACAGAGAGCGAATTCAAACTTGAAACATCAGAGTCAGTCAGCTATATTAGATATACAGACATGTCAACATGATCAAAACCAGTTTGTCTACTCCTTTTGAGTTATTGCCCTTCAGTAAAATTTTCTCCGATTTAAGTGTTTTTAACGAGAGCAATATTAGAAAGAGTAAATTGTAAAAAGCAACAATGTTAAGCAAAATAACTTCTACAAATAAGTGAATTGACAATCGGCACATATTACCATTCAAAGTCATTTTCGCCTACTTTTGTCTTTATGGCAATTATTAAAAAAATGTTTTAGTAAAAGAGTAACTATAACAAGTAAGAATAGGCAGAAGCAAGATCTTTAAATTAATTATCATTTTTATCTCATCATGGAAGTGTTTTCTCTCATTTAAAATAACAATATTTCTTTAATATAGAAAAACATTAAGCTAAAACAAATTATGGAATCGATTAAAATGCTCGGACGGCAAATATGAAAATGAAATGACATTAATTCAACACTTTCAGAGCAGGTTAAATTTTACTCCGAGTTGTTTATCACTGAGGGTGTGGACAAAAATAGCGCAGAAAAACTTATCGGACGTATTGACAGGAAACTGACGGACGATAATAGACAAAATATAGAACGACAAATTGACGTTGATGAATTAAGAAAGACAGTTAAAAATCTTAAGAAAGATAAGTCTCCGGGAAGGGATGGGGTTATATCGGAATTTTATCATATATACTGGGATCTTATCAAAACGGATTTCACTTAAGTAGTTAAGGAAGTATTTGTAGAAAATGAACTCAGTAAATCGCAATACCAGGGAATGATACTACATAAGGAAGGGGAACAAGAATTAATAAATAAAAAAAACAAAACAAAACAAAAAAAAACGGCGGCCTTTAAGCTTGATGAATACGGATTATAAAATTATATCAAAGATGTTGACAGAGCATCTAAAACCGTTATTAGATAAAATTATTCAATCGGATCAAAACGGGTAGAAATATAAGTGATGGAAATAGACTTTTACAGGATATTATTGAATATGTAGCACATGAGGATATATAGGGATTAGCTATATTTTTAGACCAGCAGAAAGCTTTTGATAGAGTCGAATGGGGATGGCTGATAAACGTAATGGAGGGCTTCAATTTTGGTAATAATTTTTGTAGCTGGACAAAAAAGCTTTTTCAAAATGCCAGCAACGTATTAAAACAAATGGTTTTCTGTCTAAATCATTTTCAATACGCAGATCAATCAGACAAAGATGTCATTCGCGCAAATGTAGAAATACAAGGAATCAAAATACCAACGATAAACGGCCACATTGAAACTAAATCATCAATGTTTGTGGACGATGCGCAACTTTTAAAAAATCCGAACTATTGGCTGAAAAAGCCTTTGAAATGTTGGAAATATATGAAAAAGCCTCCGGTTCCAAAATAACTTCGAGAAAACAAAAGTCTTGTTTATTGTTTATTGTTTAAAGGGCAAAAAACCAAGTTTCAAAAAATATCTTGTATCAAGGATAACATAAAAGATTAAGAGCTGCCCCAAGCTTATGACATTTATAACAATAAAATATAGGATTCCTTAATTGGCAAGATAAAAAACTGTATTCACGTTTGGAAAACAAGACATTTAACTTAGAGAGGTAAAGTATTGAATATAAGAAAACAATTAATACCTATTTTGGGATACGAGGTTGCGATGAGGGGTATACCTAATGAGTGTGATAAAGATAAAACAACTCAATTTCCTGGGATTTTGTTTTGGGCTCTAAAGTCAGCCTTGTCGACAGAAAAATATGTTGTCTAGATAAAAGCTTCGGGGGTATCAAAATGATCAGTTTCGAAAGTTTCATGAAAAGCAAACATGTAGAATTAATTTTTAGAATTTTAGAAAGTACAACACAAAGATGGAATGCAATTGCCAAATACTGGCTAACACACTTTGACAAAAAATTTGATATTGAATATTTTATATGTACCTGTAAAGATCTAAATGGAATTAACATTAACTATATATGCCAAATTTGTACTAAAATATGGTTACTACATGGTATGAACTTAATAGTAAAATGACCGATTTTTAACAAAATAGCATTCTTGAATATAATATATTTTGTAACAACAATACAAAATGGTAAGGGAAACATTTGCTCTTCCCTTCCTTTACCAAGAGTCATATCGCCAAAATAAAAGATGTTTGGAATATCTGTACGGAAACCTTTCATAGTAATAAAATAATATTTGATTAACTAATAGATAAACGTAATTGGACATGCGAATACAATATAATAAAGAAATCAATCCCCACTGATTGGATTAAGGAATTAAGAAGCGCCATTCCTAATCCAACTAATTTGAAGCACATAAAAATCCAGAATAACAACATTCAAAATCATGATTTGGAAAAAACATGCATTCCAAAAAAAATATTCAATTAAAATGATTACAAAAAAAAAATAAAATATGTACTAGTGCAAAATGTGAAATTATATGAATAGAACATTTAGAACGGAACAAGACTTGCAATCAGTCTGAAAGAAGCTTCACAAGCTGCCTGTATCAAACAATATTTTCCAATTCCAATGGAAATCACTACATTGTATACATTATACTGAATTTAAATTGAATAAATTCGAAAGTCCGATGGCCTATGTAACTTATGTGGCAAATGTTTTGAAACCCAAGATCATTTATTCTATTATGGTTATAAAATTCAAAACGTCATTGAAGAAATAAAAATATTGCTATCTCTGTGCATAGATATACCGCTAAACTTTGATTCCAAAACATGATTATTTGATATAATCAAGATCTTCATAAAACGGAAATAAATATTGGAAATTTTATAGTGTTCTCGGCAAAATTTAGTATTTGGAAAGGTCGAAACGACATTTAATTCAACAAAACAGCATTTAATGAAACATCTATCCTCCTTATTTTTAAGAACGTTACGAATGATTTTATCAAAATGATCGCTTAATCAAAAAAAAAAAAAACACACTTATTCGAAATAGACAAACTTGACCGTTTATCTCAAATATTTTAATTACTATTAATAGTCGGATTTGCTTATTTTTTCCTTATTATTTGCTCTTTTGTAGATATATATACATTTTTATGAAATCGCTTATGCCTCGGTTTTATAGTTATAGTTATCATTTGAATACAAAAGGCACACTTTGAACAAATGTATAGATTACACATTCATTTACCAACAATCGTCATTATTTATATAAGTTAATTCTATATTTTATATTTTAAACATATTTATATTACATACTTCATAATTGTATTACCTTGTTTGTAATAGTATTTTACTCACCACAAATTGTGTTTCTTTATAAGTGCACATACATTTACTTCACAAATATTCCTTCATCTAAAATTCTAAAGTGTTTATATACTTTATTACCTAAAGCTTCAAGCAGGTGTCCTGTCGCTGTCAATATCTAAGAGGCATTTAACCTGGAACACAATTTAGATAACAAAAGATTTCATAATTCATTGTACAATATAAATCTTCCTCTTATACACAATAAAACAAAATATTTCTTTTGATAAACACATTATAAGACTTTTATGCGCATAGTATCGAAATACAATAAGCATTTTGATAAAATAATGGTCTCTTTGAAAATAGAATTAGTTTGCAGTCTTTGATATTTCAAAAAAAATGGAGGAATAGACAACCTGGAACCAAGAGTCTACATTATTCATGTAGGTCCCAGGTGCGACAAATTGTCATTTAATAGATAAATAAATAAATAAAATTTATATTATGTGTAAATAATGATATAATGGGCTATAAAACTAGAAGCCTGTACTATCATCCAAATGTGGTGTTTATTAATCTAAACAAAAGATATTAATCAATCATATAAATTGTAATGCAAATACGCATATATATAGTATAGAATCATTATATTAAACAATAAATGATGATAAATTCAAATACCACATCACCTGTGTGAATATTTTGTACAAACATTTTTTAGTCTAGGGATTATAAACAAACAAACACTATATACAGCTACATTTGTATCAACCATACACACAAGTAAAGTCACTATCTGTTGCTCCTTAAACAAATTACCGAATCGTTTATTGACTGTTAATCAAAATAAGAATACGGGCTGGCAGGGCGGAAGCGAAAGGTTAAAAGAAAGGAATTAAAGATGAGTGGCGCCACTTAGTTTTCACAACAATTATAATAGATAGAAGTCACTTTATTTTCTGCTGCCATGTTAATTAGAAAACAAAATTGAAATAGTTAGAAATGAGTTTTGGATATTGGCTCTCAGTGATGAGCAAAATTTCTGTGCAAAATTAAGCAAGGGTTTGTGTTCATTAATACTATTTCGAAAATTCCAGAATCATAGAGTACCCTTAAAAAATGCCATTTTTCTATCAAAAAAGCTGCGGCACCATATGTGTTTTGCAGTTTTTATCGTTTTAAACACAGCCAAACAGTTGAAATGGGCTGGTCAATGCCCCCCCCCCCCCCCTCAACCCTCCTCCCCAGTTTTCTGCAAATGGGGGAACCTGTGAAGAAAATCATTTCAAATGATGAACTAATGTATTTTCAATCAAAAAATTCGAACGTAAGCAGGACAGGCATATAGTAATAGACTAATGCACAGATTCCGATTTGATTTCAGTATATGTCAGTATAGCGAAATAACGGTTTCTGACGCATCGCTGTATTTTTCGAGACATTGTAGAAATTGAATTGTAAATAAAGTTACTCAGTAGAAAACTGTATCAGAAGAAAAATTGTTGGCAACCGTGAATCTATAGTCTTTATGAAATTTTTACTGTTTGTTTTATTTTTCTGTTTAAGTGATAGGATTCATTAAGTCGCTGTAAGAACAAAAAATTTGTCAAGGACTCTGTCTTTGAATATTTATCCTCATCTTTAATAAAATTGCATGTATTTATGTATATCTAAAAAAGGGTGGGGACATATTTTTGCTGACGTTAAGCGAAATTGTTGTATTTTTTTATTGCTAAATGTTGCCAAAATACCCCTAAAATATCAGAATTAGGTAAAAAATCAAAGGCCATGCATTTTTCTCCTTAGTACCGTCGAATTGAATAATTTGTACACGGTTCATATAAAAAAAAACTTAACAGCAATGATCAAATCTTAATTTCAGCCGTTTTATAGTCTATTTCATAAAATTTTGTTTTGCTCTTGCAGCTGTTCTCATATATTCGTGACAAAAACATATAAATTGGACATAGTTATAAAATAATCAGCCTCAAGTCTTTAATAATCATAAATCGAACTTAATTAATCAAAAACCGCGTGTTTACACAGCCAAACAGTTAAAATATGCTGTTCAATGCCCCCCAAGTTTTCAAAAAGTATAGTTTTCGGCAAATGGGGGTAACTGTAAGGAAAATCATTTTAAATGATGAAAAACTGTATTTTAAATCCAAACTTTTGAACGTAAGCAGTAGGGGTATATAGTAATAAGATTGTTTCTGTGTGTGTTGCGTTGTCGTTTGTTGTTTGTTCACTTCAGTCTTTCTGTTGTTTCGTTGTCCAAATGTACTATATTGTATTGTTTATTTAGCGTAATTCTCTGTCCGTTCAACCCACCATGTTTTCTTGAAATGTCCTGTACCAAGTCAGGAAAATGGCCATTGTTATATCATAGTTCGTTTCTGTGTGTGTTGCATTTTAGTGTTGTGTTTCTGTTGTGTCGTTGTTCTCCTCTTATATATCTTGTGTTGCATTTTAGTGTTGTGTTTCTGTTGTGTCGTTGTTCTCCTCTTATATTTGATGTGTTTCCTTCAGTTTTAGTTTGTAACCCGGATTTGTTTTTTTCTCAATCGATTTATGAATTTTTATGGTATACTACTATTGCCATTATTTATAGACTAATGCACAGATTCCGATTTTATTTCAGTATATGTCAGTATAACGAAATAACGATTTCTGGAGCATCGCTGTATTTTTCGAGATATTGTAGAAATTGAATATGTAAATTAATAGGTTAGGTGGTGGAAATCTGTATCAGATGAAAATTGCTGGTCACCATGAACCTATTGTCTATATCAAATTTTAACTGTTTTTTTATTCTTCTGTTTAAGGGGTAGGATTCATTAACCCACTGTAAGAACTGGAATTCTGTCAAGGACTCTGTCTTTAATCATTTCTCCTCATCTTTGATTAAATTGCATGTATCTAGGCATACCTAAAAGGGGGCATACTTGAGCTGACGTTAAAAGATATTTGTTTTTGTATTTTGTATTGCTAAATGTTGCCAAAATACCCCTTAAATATTAGTTAGGAAAAAAATCAAAGGCTAATATACATTTGTCTTCTTAGTACCGTCGAATAGAATATTTTGTACACGGTTCACATAAAAAAAACAGCAATGCTCAAATCTTAATTTCAGCCGTTTTATAGTCTATTTCATATACTTTTGTTTCGCTCTTGCAACTGTTTTCATATATTCCTGACAAAAACATATACATTGGACATAGTTATCAAATGATCAGCCTCAACAGTCTTGTATCCAAGCCCCAGATATCACATCAAAATGATGTTGGGCTTATCATCTGCATCACTTAGGAAATACCATAATTTCAAATAAAACTGTCACTTCAATTTAAATTTGTAAGAAACCACATGTTTTGTTAACCCGATTCTCAAGTGATAATTGTTGTATAAATGAATTAATAGTAAATACACAGCACTGATCCTTAATTGTGACTATTTAATTAATTATGTGTTTAGTTTATTTGAAGAAGAAAAGTATATTTGTGTGGAGCTGATATAAAGAATAATATAAAAGTCATATTTAATTCATATGTGTAAAACACAACCTGCTGTGGGAAATTAAATGTCTATATATTAAAAGAAAGAATAATTGAACAGAAAATGAAACAACTTTCGTGTCATTGAATAAGAACTCATTATTTGATTGAAATGTTTTTATATCATATGTACATGTGTATGTAAATTATAACTAGCTATTCAAATATATATTGCAACAAGAACAAAAAAAGTAAATGAATTATTAATAATAATCTCACAAAGTTATATATATATAGCAGGGTTTAAGAACATCAGTTGTTCGACCTGCTAGTCAAATGCGTTTTGTTAAAATATACATTTTTCCACTTTTATGGTCTTTTGGAAAATGTTGTTTGTGCTGTATTTAGACCCCTCTACCAAGAAATTTGTTTTGCATGCACACGTATAAAAATTGCGGTTTTTATCCAGCGCAATCATAGGTTTGAACGTTGTTTGCAATTTAGACTTGTTCTTATATTTTTTCGTTTGGGCCTGTATTATATTTGCCTTCGGGTTTATATGATCCGTTCATCCTATTTCGACTCTTTCAAAATTCAAGAGTCTATCCTTAATTGAGGTAAATTATATGGCCTTCCAAATACCGTTTCGATTCCTAACATCATTGAAGAGACATTAATTGTCGAAATCCGGATATGGTGAACAAATTTTTGCACCTCATGTTTGCGGTATACCATCTTTTCCGCAATTTTATTGTTTTCTGTTTAGTAATAATTTAATTATAAGATCAATTTTGTTGCATCTTGTGATCCGTTTATTTGGCAATCGCCAATGGCAGTCAGCAGGGTTTAAGAACATCAGTTGTTCGACCTGCTAGTCAAATACGTTTTTTAAAATATATATTTTTTCACTTTTATGGTCTTTTGGAAAATGTTGTTTGTGCTGTATATAGACCCCTCTACCAAGAAATTTGTTTTGCATGCACACGTATAAAAAGTGCGCTTTTTATCCAACGCAATCATAGGTTTGAACGTTGTTTTCAATTAAGACTTGTTTATATATAAATGCATATATTTTTAGAATTTCAAATGTGACGTCACTTTGTGCGTTGAAGCTTTAGCTAACTCGGCTGTGTATTTTTATATGTTGGATTAAGTTGTTTGATGTAATGTATCCGTTTTTATTCTGTAGTTAGTCCCCACTTTGGTTTTATCATGTATATCTATTATATAGTCATTTTATAATATTTACTGTTTGCAAAATTATAAATTATTCTAAATAATAAGGATGTTCTTGTCCCAGGCAGAAAATCCTGGCCATGTTAGGCGCAACTTTTTGGAAGTTTTGGTCCTCGGTGCTCTTCAGCTTTGTACTTGGTTTGGCTTTCAAACTTTTTTTATCTGAGCGTCACTGGTTAGTCTTGTGTGGACGAGACGCACGTCTGGCGTATTGAATTTTAAGCCTAGTACCTTCTTCTAGATATTATTTGTGTGTTTCTTTGTCCTATATGTTCTCCCATTTATTTGTATTGTGGTCCTGTCATGTGATGTTGTCGTTTTGGTGTTGTGTTTGACGTTGCCATAAAAGCGGGAGGTTTGGCATGCCACAAAACCAGGTTCAACCTGTACCAAGTCAGGAAAATGGCAATTGTTATATTATAGTTCGTTTCTGTGTGTGTTACATTTTTATGTTGTGTTTTTGGTGTGTCGTTGTTCT